TGCTGTGCGGCTATCAAAATTGCTGTGTATCAATTACGGCTATCAATTCCCGCAAGAGAAATTTGCTGGTGCAAGCAATATGAGAGATAATTGATGGATTTTTTTTATCAGATCGGGCAAGCAGTACAAGAGAAAAAAAATCTTAACCTTGATCTTGATGCCATGACAAAGTAAGAGAAAAAAACACGATAGCAAAATCGGTCATCTAATCTGATGCCGAGAGAGGCTCTGGCCGTGTGTATATATACCAAAGATTATGGTTTACAAGTATAACTTACCAACCAAGTAACTGAGGCTAAAAGAGTAAATACATAAATACATAATATATAATAATGTACACTAAGAAATGTCCTAAGGTCTTTCATTTTTGTCTCACTTGCTGACACTAGATTACATAGTAGAAAGATTAAAAAATCATAAGAGCCTTCATATATATATTTATATGTTTCTCAATAAACCTCCTACGGTTTGTCATTTTTGTCTCATTTACTGACAGTAGATTACGTAGTAGAAAATATTGAAAAATCAGTAGAGCCTACATATTTATTTATTTATTTATTTATTTATTTCTCTATAACCCTCCTAAGGCCTTTCATTTTTGTTTCACTTGCTGACACTGGAGTACGTAGTAGAGAAGATTGAAAAATCATAAGTTTCCATATTTATTTATTTATCTATAACCCTTCTAAGGTCTTTCAATTTTTGTCTCATTTACTGACACTAGATTACGTAGTAGAAAAGATTGAAAAATCATAAGAGGCTCCATATTTATTTATTTATTTATTTCTCTATAAACCTCTTAAGGTATTTCATTTTTGTCTCACTTGGTGACACTAGATTACGTAGTAGAAAATATTGTTAAATCATAAGAGCCTACATATTTATTTATTTCTCTATAAACCTCCTAAGGTCTTTCATTTTTTCTCACTTGCTGACACTAGATTACATAGTAGAAAAGATTGAAAAGTCATAAGAGACTTCATATTTATTTATTTATTTATTTCTCTATATAACAACTTGTAAAAATCGTAAGATTGAAAATTATAAGAAGAAAAANATAACTTTCATAAAACTCATAACAGAAATTCATACAAACCGAGCACCTAAATAAGTGCAAGCTTACAAGCCACTCCATGAAACTGAAGAAACTACAAGCTATGAAAGATTAATACTAATCTTCCTGACCAGCCTCCAAGGCAAGAGAAAAAGAACTAAAACAAGCTACATTATCATACACAAAAGAGCAATTAGAAAATGATGCTGCACTAGTCTGAATGTCAGCCCTAACAGCCACACTTTCACCCTGTATCTCTTCCATCTGATTCAATACTCTAGAAATGGCATAGGAATTAGCATAACAACATATATCATTTGTATAGCCTGTCTCTTTTAGCTTTGTTAATCCCCATCTGACTGCTTTGAGTGATGCTTCCTCATCATTGGTGGCTTGTTCTGAGCATTCTTTCCAGCAATACTTTATGCCTCTATCATCTTCAACCACAACACCAAAACCAGTCTTATCTTCTGGGAATAATGAGGCACTGACAGTTAACCATAACCGTCCTACCCCTCTGCCAGATGAGTCTAGAATGTCACCATTCCTCCACCTCTCTCCTATGTTTCCTACTGCAATTTCCTCAAATTCTCTCCACTCTTTCCATGCTCCATCCACCACATCTGTCTCCCTGCTCCTATTTCTGTTAAACACCCATGCATTTCTAGTTCTCCACAACCACCATAATAGGTAAGTGGAGAGGTTAATTCTGTCTTGATAACATTCATTTCCCTTCCCTAAACATAAATCTCCCAACCAGTCTATGAAAGTCCAATTCTTCTTGCCAAATTGCACCCACTGCAACCCACTGATTTTCCAACAATTTACTGCCCTCTTGCAATGCAACAGTATATGTTCCAAATTTTCTTCCATCTCCCCACATATACCACAGATACTATCCACAGGCAATTTCTTTTTAATTAGTTGATCATTAGTGCTCAAATATCCATATCAGCATCTCCAAAGAAAATTTCTAACCTTGTTCTTCACTACTTCTATCACTGAGCAGATAAATAGGGATTTAACTAGAGAGGTCACTGAGGTGGAAATTAGAACTGCCCTAATGCAAATGGACCAGCATAAAGCTCCTGGTTTTGATGGAATGTCACCAGCCTTCTTCCAACAAGCTTGGACATCCATCAAATCTGAGTTATGTGCTGCCATTCAGAACTTCTTTCTGAAGGGTAGAATGCCCAAGAACATAAATCATACTATGCTCACTCTCATACCCAAAAAGAAAAATCCCCATTTTGTTGTTGACCATAGACCTATAAGCTTATGCACTATTATTTACAGATTGATTGCAAAAATAATAGCCAATAGGATTAAAACTGTCTTGAATCATTGTATTTTCCCTACCCAATCAGCTTTTGTGCCTGATAGATATATCATTGATAATGTAGTGATAGCGAATGAATGCATCTATTTTTTGAACAGTAAAAGGTCTGGCAAAGATAAGTACGTGGCTATTAAACTTGATATGGCTAAGGCCTATGATCGGGTTGAATGGAGTTTCTTGGCTAAAATCTGTAAAAAAAAAAAAATGGGCTTTTGTGACTTGTTTGTGTCTTGGATACTTGCTTGTGTTTCTTCTTCTTCATTCTCTTTTAATGTTCAGGGGTCTGTCTTATGTTGTCCCTACTAGAGGACTGAGACAGGGAGATCCCCTGTCTCCTTACCTCTTTGTTATTGTTTCTGAGGCTTTCTCAAATTTGATTAAGCAAGCATGTGTGAGTCATAACTTCTCTGGGGTGAAAATAGGTAAATTCTCTCCTGTTGTGTCTCATTTAATCTTTGCTGATGATTCTATTGTATTCTGTAAGGCTGATATGCATCATGCTCATACTGTGCTTGATATTTTGAGAAATTATGGGGCAACCTCTAGTCAATTAGTGAATCTGGCTAAATCCTCAAATTTTTTCTCCAAAAATTCCTCTAAAGAAGTCAAAAATTCTGTTTGTATAGTCTTGAATGGGATTGCTAGAGTTAATTCTTCCAAATATCTTGGCCTTCCTCTTGGGATTGGTAGAAATAAAAAGGATACTTTTCAATTTTTGTTTGATTATGTCATGAATAGAGTGAAGAGTTGGAAAAATTGCTTTCTGAGTGAGGCTGGGAGGGAAACACTTATCAAGTCTATTTTAGAAGCCCTTCCTACCTATGTAATGTCATGCTTTAGATTGCCCAGTTCAGTTTGTGTTAATATATGTAGAGAGATTGCAAAATTTTGGTGGGGGGTGTCTGAGAATGGGAAAAACAGAGTGCATTGGTATGGGTGGGATATGTTAACTAAGCCTAAAGAGTGTGGGGGAATGGGATTTAAAAATTTTAAGGTGTTAAATGAGACTCTAATAACTAAACAGTTATGGAAACTCATTACTAAACCTAATTCTCTGGTGAGTAGGGTCCTGAGAGGCAAATACTTTTGGAATAAAAAACTCTTTGAGATTAAGGCCAAAAGTAGTGACTCTTGGCTGTGGAAATCTTGGATGCAGGCTAGAAACTCTTCGAAGTTGGGGGTGATGTACAGAGTGGGGGATGGGAAATTAATTGATATCTGGAATGCTCCTTGGCTCCCAAAAGCCAAGAATTTTATTCCTTCTTTGCAATTTGAGAGTGATAGGGAGAGAGTTAGAAAGGTGAGTGATCTTTTCTGGAAAACAAAAGAGAGTGGGATGTGGATCTGGTGTATCAAACTTTTTTACCTGAGGAGGCTGAGCAAGTACTTAAAATCCCTATAAGTCATGCAGGGGCTTTTGATAAATTGGTGTGGCATTGGAATATTAAAGGGATGTTTAAGGTAAAAGAAGTATACCTGTTCTTGATGAAACAACAGATGCTGAAACAAGGGACACCAAGCTCAAGTTCTGGTGACAGCCTTATGAAAAGCATTTGGAGGAAGACATGGACTGACATTTATCTCGGGTATATAACAACTTGTAAATTTTAACAACAATGCATTATATAACAACTTGTAAATCTATCATCGCCCATATGCACCTGGGCGGATGAATCCTTTAAGATCCTAACCTAAATTTTAAGTGGATATGAATTTTG